AAACCAGTCATAAGGGTCAATTTTGTGAAATTGAGATGTATGCATCATCTGAAAGCTGAATAAATAAGCTTTCCATTGATGTATGGTTTGTTATGATATGCAAAAAAATCAAAATATTGAGAAAATCTCCTTTAAAGTTGTCCAAATGAAGTTCTTAGCAATGCGTATTACTAATCAATAATTACGTTTTAATATATTTACGGTAGGAAATGTACAAAATATCTTCAAGGAACATGATCTTTACTTAATATCCTAATGATTTTTGGCATGAAAGAAAAATCAATAATTTTGACCCATACAATGTATTGTTGGCTATTGCTACAAATATACCCCAGCGACTTAAGCCTGCTTTTGTGCTGCAGGGTCACAAATAAAAATTAATCTGATCCGTTTTCTAAATGCATGTTGTAGATCTTATTGTGAACGATTCATCCGTGCCGTGTTTCATTTTTATTTCCTCAATCTTCTGGTGAAAGTGATGTCTCTGGATTTCTCCAATCATTTAGTCTGCTTAAACCCTGCCATTCCACCAAAATACTGCAAGATGAGTGCCACGCCCACATTTCACAAACCAATCAACAACCAATGGATTGAACCAAACCCCGCCCTACATTTGTTTCCATAATCTGTCACGCTCGGATGTACGTCCCAATATGGAAGAAAAGATCTGTCGCTACTTTTGTCCGATGGCAACTTTAAAAGTAGCTCACTGCGGTGCAATAACTCACACAAATGAAATCATTCATAATTCCAGTTTGTTTTGGTGTTAGCACATGACAGATCAACTCAGTCCCCAGTGAGTCTGCAGTCTTCATCCTGAGGGGAGAAATGCTTAATCAGGAGTTCTTATGTGCTTTCTTTAAATCCATTTGAAAGTCAAGTTATTTTAAAGTTCTATAAAGAATGATTCATGTATTGAAGATTATATATTGCATTGTCTCATGCATGCTTTTCTGTCTAATCTCTTTAGACATGGTATAAATGCATCTGCATCATCTCATGCATCTGTTGTATGCAGGTCTTTGTCGGCCCTCGTCAGGGCCTGGTCTAATTCAGGATGGCGTATGTTGGGACGCAGCTGGGTGTATCGGTCCTAGTCTTATTCTGCACTATGGCGCCGTCTCCTGGTCAGGCATATATATATGCTGTAAGTGTCTGGTTTTAGGCTTTCATTCGTTTTATAGATGCTTTTATGATATTGGGTTACACACGGCACCTTTCAGCAGTCAATGTAAATTTTATAATGTAGGGTTTGATTGCTTTGCACTGCAGTTGCTAATGGCCTCTTTTCTATTCTGTGCAGCATTACAGTAACATGACCTCCATGCTGTTTGAAGATCTGCCCGCTCTCTTTGGCCCTCCTCTGCCAAAAGATGGACTCATGGTAATGAATCTCTACTGCTGGACTCGTAGGTTTGCCCAGTGAATGCAGTAGTGAATGTGAGTGACTGACTTGTCTGTCTTCTGCTCTCTCTCCCAGGGTGTGCTGGTAGAAGCGCGTCCTCAGAATGCCTGCATGCCTATAGATCCTCCTCCAGTTTCTCCCACACCCTCCGATCCCAACAGCACTACAAAATACATTGTCCTCATTCGACGCTATGACTGTAACTTTGATATCAAGGTTAATGTTCTCGCACAGCTGCGCTATTTCAGTAGATTCCAAAATATGGGCTATAAAAGTTGAAGTGTAAAGTAATATGGTCGACTGACAAGAATATATATAAAACTAAAAGCATGTGACAATAGACAATGTACCTTTGTGAAAAAGAAGTACACTTCAGCATACTGACAAAAAATACTTATGACTATATGCTTAGTACTTATTATGGAAATAATATGCTTTAAAAGAATATATTTAAGTGTGAAGTAAATGTAATATTTTGCATTTCTGACCCACTTAAGTAGGACTTCAGTACATCTTTATATGTAATTTTTATAATTCTATTGTCTTTGAAATATGGTTACAGTGCAAACATTTGTGGTAAACTAAAATGTACTTCGCGATTTCTATTGAAACTTGCTTGTCATGCACTTAAATATATTTGTAATTATACCTTTGTAATGATAAAGTCACAAACAGTCCATTTAAAATATATTAAATTTAAATGTAATGTCAAGTTTAGTCACACCAAAATAAGTGTACTCCTTTGAAGAATGACAAAAAATGATTAAAGCATAGTGATGATAAAGTATGCTTAAAAAGCAAAACTTTTAATTTGACATTATTACAAAGTGCAATGTTTAAGTGTACTTAACTGTGTAAAGAAACATGAAAGTGTTTCTCTAAGTACACTTAGGCAGCCTTTTAATGCATTAATATATAATCTGCAAGTAGTTTTTTTTTTTTTTGAAGTACACATGTATTGAAGATTATATATTGCATTGTCTCATGCATGCTTTTCTGTCTAATCTCTTTAGACATGGTCAGACTGAAAATGTCTGTCGCTGATGGTGAAGGTTGTAAACTCATGCATCTGTTGTATGCAGGTCTTTGTCGGCCCTCGTCAGGGCCTGGTCTAATTCAGGATGGCGTATGTTGGGACGCAGCTGGGTGTATTGGTCCTAGTCTTATTCTGCACTATGGCGCCGTCTCCTGGTCAGGCATATATATATGCTGTAAGTGTCTGGTTTTAGGCTTTCATTCGTTTTATAGATGCTTTTATGATATTGGGTTACACACGGCACCTTTCAGCAGTCAATGTAAATTTTATAATGTAGGGTTTGATTGTGATGATAAAGTATGCTTAAAAAGCAAAACTTTTAATTTGACATTATTACAAAGTGCAATGTTTAAGTGTACTTAACTGTGTAAAGAAACATGAAAGTTTTTCTCGAAGTACACTTAGGCAGCCTTTTAATGCATTAATATATAATCTGCAAGTAGTTTTTTTTTTTTTTGAAGTACACCAAGTGCACATTCAATACAATGAAGCACACTTCTTTTTCACAAGGGCATGTTATCCGGTGTCAAAGCTAGCAAAAGGTCAGAGACTTATATGGCCACAGATACGCTTAGTGTGCATTGTGCAATGAATAACAGAATATGTGAGCAATACTGTTTTTGTTTTTAATCTTATAGGTGCTCCATGCACAGCAGGCCGGTTTCAGTGCAGCCATAGTTCACAACATGTACTCTAATTCACTTCTCAGTATGGGATACAGCAATGGTGAGACACACACATACACATACACACACACACACACACACACACACTGCTTCTATTGAGCAGTTATGGGAATTAACACCTGTGCACCTTCACATGTTTGTTTTATACTAGTAATGGGAATACTACACTCTTATTGGTAGCTGAAAACAAACAAAAACTGATTAATAAATGAACATATAAGCAGTGGTGGATGTATAGAATGACAGGTATTTGAAGTCTATCTATGGAGCTTTCTTTGGTATTTTGCAAATTTCAATACAATTGACCCCTATTGAAGACACATACTTTATCATAATTGCAATCCAGTCTGATGTCCGCTTTGTTTCTGTTTAGACACTATCATGGAGGAGATCGAGATTCCCTCTGTGTTCACAAGCTACTATGCCTCTCAGATACTGCGCAGCTTTATCATACCAGAGAAAGGGTGAGAATGATATAGTCTACATGCATTCTAACACAAAAACGGAATCTAGATAGACATATGAATAGAAACACACCTACATTCTTGGAAAACAGGTATAACATCTTACCTTTTCGAAAGGGATACTTTTGTACCTTATTTACCCCTAAAGGGTGCATTCTAGTACCTCAAAGTTACATATTAGTGTTTTAAAAGTACATTTTAGTACCTAAATGGTACATCTTTTGAAAAGGTACTGCCCCACTGACAGGTTTTGTACTGAGAGTGTTGATTTTTTAGCTCATAATTTTAGTAAAATACCGGTAGTAAGTGATCAAAGCTATGAAATAACAAATATGGGCATGTGGAAATTATGTAGCGACCTAAAATAGTCAACAAATGAAAACTGTCATATTTGAGTTTTTTCAAATGCTAGAATACCTTTGTATAGTTTACAGAGCTACTCACTCGGGTTCAGACTATTTCTTCTTTGGATGCTTTTTTAAACAGTATAGGGAAAATGAGTTTAACTCTCTGCTCTAACACATCCATGTATAATAAAAGAAAGATATTTATTTATTACATTTTGTAACAAAAAATCAAGCTTGAGCACAATTTAAATTTGTGTACAAATCTAATTTCACTCAGAGAGCATTGTGATAA